CATCCTAGATTAACCATCTTCTAATGAGCGTTGGTTGCTGTACAGTAATCATCTTGAGGGTTGGTTGCTGTATAAGGCAAGCCCAGAACCAAAACGAGGGTAAAGTGTACTCATTCAGAACTATACTCCCCTTAGAACCTTAATGAACATAATATGCTTCATGCCCTCTCGGGTTTCATATAAACAAAAATAAAAAAAATCCAAGGGGGGATGTAGACTCAGATACTAAGAAGACTTACAAAAGCGAAGCCTCTGAGCCCTAAGCCCTCACTTTTACCAGCAAGCCAGAGTCCCAGAGCCCACCCCGACCCCAACAAACAGCTTCGGATTTTTGATACAGGGTTTAGGGGTTTAGGGTTTCGGGTTTAGGGTTTAAGGCTAAAGGCTTAGGGTCTTGAGAAGTTGAGGCGCTTGTCACAGGGTTGAGGTGTTTTGGGCGTCGAGGGCTTTGGAGTAAGAGGCTTTGGTTTAGGTGTTCAGGGCCACGGGGCTTGATCTGGTCAAAGGCCTAGTGCTTAAACCCTACCTTGGGCGACCAAAACCCTGACGAAAGTGCGTCAGGAAACCAAAACCGGGATGTCCGGAAGATTTTGTCAAAAAATGGTTTTGACTAACAGAGCCGGTTCTTACAAAATACGACGCATAGAACCCGTCAATACCCGTCGAAAACCCCGCCCAACAAAAACACCGTCGGCTTCTTTTCGGCCCGGCAAAACCCGGTTTTGGTTTCCGGAACCGGGTTTTAAAGTAGAACCCTCTTTTTTTTCGGGTTGGGTTGCTGAAGGTAAACCCTGAACCCTAGCCGCAGCCGTCACTGGGGGGTGGGCTAAACGTAAGGGTCCATGTACCTAGGTAGGGAACACTTGGGCCTTAAAGTATAAAATAACCCTGAACCGAAAACCCTAAAACCCCTAAGCCCTAAGGTACACCCTAAACCCTTCTTTCTTTGGCCCCTAAGCCCTCGAGCCCCCAGAGTCGGGGGACCAAAAAAATCCCTAGATGCTGTACCCTCAAGTGTCCTAAGCCCTAAACCCTAAACCCTAAACATTAAACCCTACACCCTACACCCTACACCTAAACCCTAAACTAAGTGTCCTAAGCCCCAAACCCTAAACCCTAAACCCTACACCCTAAGCCCTGACCCTGGTCCGGCCATGGTGTTCAATTCGTGGTAGATCACCCACCAGCCACGGAAGTTGTTGTAGAAGATCAGGTTGCCTTTAGTGCCACCCCAAGCCCTAAAAACCAAATGCCTGAACCCTAAATCCCCAAATAGGGTTTAGGGTTTAGGGTTTAGGGTTTAGGGTTTAGGGTTTAGGGTTTAGGGTTTCGGGTTTATATATAACCCACCTAAACCCCTCAACCCTGAACCCTAAACCCCTAAACCCTGAATCCCTAAGCCCCTAAGCCCCTACAAGCGTAAACCCTAAACCCTGCAGAAGGCTTTGGGAGGTCTCTCGGAGGGAGAAGGTTTGACTGTGGGTTAAAAAGGCTTAGGGAGCTTAAAGGCATAAAGGCGACCGACTCTGCACCAGGCTCTTATGGTAAAACCCTAAACCCTAAACCCTAAACCCTAAACCCTAAACTATAACCCGAAACCCTCAACCCTAAACTCTAAACACAAACCCTAAACCTCAACCCTAGTCGATGGTTTTAGGGTTCGCGGCTGGGGGATTTGAGGAGCCCCGAAAAGACAAGAAAAACAGATGTAGGGTTCTAGACGCAAGCGTAACCTAGGAATAACAAGGTACCCTTTTCGGTTTAAAGGGGGCCATAAGGGAACCTAAGCCCTAAAAGAAGGGAACAAGGGCCTACTCTGTGTCCTAGTTACCCTAAACCCTAATTATACCCTAAACCCTAAACCCTATACCCCTAGATTCCTAGAATTTCGGAGGACTCAGGCTCGGCCATGCTGAGGGAAGAGCCATCCGAATCCCCTCCTCCCAGCAAAGGGTTTTCATGTGGAAACCCGAAAGCCCCTGAATAAGCATAAACCTTATGTGCCCTGAAACCCTAAACCCTAAACCCTGATTAAACCCTAAACACTAAACCCTAAACCCTAAACCCTAAACCCTAAACCCTAAACCCTAGCAGGTTGCTGGGCTCAGGACTGCGAGTGGAACGGTTGAAGGTTGGGGCCTGGTTGGGGCCTAGAAGGTCCTTTTGGATGGCTTGGGGCTTTAGTAGGGTTTAGGGTTTAGGAGATAGGGTTTAGGCTGAGACTCTCAAGTTCTGCGGGATATGTGGCTTAGGTTGAGTAGAGGGGGCTTCTGGTACAGGACTCGCCCTTCCCGCGCGCTGGTTTTCGCACACCGCGTTGATCAGCAGCTGCGCGTGGTGACGCGACACCCGTCCGGGGTAGTGGACTCCGTCCTGTCGATGGGGCAAGGGAAGGGACTCCCAGATAATAAGCTCTGAACGCTATGTGAAGTCGATCTAGTCCACATCTCCATAGAATCTGAACATCCCATGTCATACTGCAACTTCTAAACAATCCCTAGTCACTGAAAGCCGAGCTTAAGCCCAGAACAAAAAAACTAAACACGCAAATGCTTGCAAGTGAGTGAGCGGCTTGAGCGTGTCCTAATTGATCGGTGGAAGATACAATTCTCAAAGCCTACGGTTTAGGGTTGAGAACTTTCGGAATGGTTCCGGGGGTATGGGCTTCGCCAGGTGTCAAGCAAGATGCTGCGCAACCTGACCAGAACCCACATTCTCAAACAGCGTGACAGGCAAAAATGCATGCCTTGCACCCTAAGCTGTGCTAAAAGTAGCCCAACCAAAACTCACCGCAAATTTCGCGTGAATGGGAAAACCTAAATGTGATCATGCCTGCAGTTTGATATCCCTGCAACAAAAATTGAGACGTCCCCCCCCCCCCCCTCTCCGCCCTCGCTACACAGCAAGCCCGGCCCCCGCCCGTCCGGAGAATCTCCCGGGTGCTGCAAACCTCCGGTTTAGGGTTTGCCGTCAGAAGCCGCTACCTGCCTATGGGGTTTTACTTGGAAGCTCATGAGTTCTCAAAAGTAGGGTTACAAGTAGGGTAGCTATTGTTGAAACCTTAACTTCAGGTACATCTCATCCTACTTGTAAGTACCGCTGAACCTCCAAGTAGGCTCAAGGTCTGATTTATGTGTATTCGCAAGAGCTAAGTTTTGTGATAACACCTTCCAGATCCTTTCCGCTTTACTCGTCTGAATTCTACTACGACACTTTGGAGGGTACTCGGGCGACTTTCCAAAGAAGTTGCTCTTGAGACCTTCACCCAGGAGCTAAACCAAAACGTGTGGCTTTAGACTTTAGGGTTTAGACTGTTGTTGATATATATATATATATGTATATGGATGTATATACAATTTTTAGTTTTACTATGATTATTATTCTTACTATTATTATTATTATGTTCTTTTTTTTTGCGGGGGGGGGGGGGGGGGGGGGGGGGGGGGGGCGGGCGGCGGCTCCGGTGGCTATTTTCAGGTGCAAGGAGCCGCCGAAGCGCTCATAGCCAAAGCCAACGAGTGTGTGAAAGACAGTGCTGAAAGTGCAACCAACCTCCTGCGAATTAATTAACCCCGAACAAACTTGTGGTTTGGGGTTTCGGGTAGTGATGAAACAGTTGCAGGGGTGAAGACAGGCCCTCCCATCCCGCGGTGTAAGGGGCTTAGGGGGTTAGGGTCGAGGGCGACCCAAACCCTAAACCCTAAACCCTGACACGAAGCACCAGCACAACAGGGACCGAAAGACCGACTGCTCTGTTCCTGCGTAATCGGGACCTACACCGCCCAAGCGAATCCCTAAACCCTAAACCCTAAACCCTAAAACCCTAAACCCTAAAAGGGTGGTTACAAGGGCCTCTGAATTTTGGAAAGCCTGCTTAGATACCCAATAAAAAAAACAAAGGGACCCCGCTTCAGAAACCTTTTAGACAAGGTAAGGGGCCGGACCGAGGAAACTTACCCTTAGAGAAAGGACAGTTAGGGTTTAGGGTTTAGGGTTTAGGGTTTAGGGTTTAGGGTTTAGGGTTTAGGGTTTAGGGTTTAGGGTTTAGGGTTTAGGGTTTAGGGTTTAGGGTTTAGGGTTTAGGGTTTAGGGTTTAGGGTGAACCCTGAAAACTATCATGCCAGTCTGGTCGTGCATCCGAGAGTTTGGACAATCACCCTGTGTGAATTTTGGGGGGGGGAGGGGGGGGGGGAGGGTGTCCGGCGGATTCCAAAAAGGTGCTTGATACAATATGTTTGACCATTGTCACAGTTTCACAACCCGAAAGCCAAGCACCTAGACCCGTGTGGCTTCGGTAGAAGGACCGCAGCATCCCAAAGGAAACCTGAACCCTAAACCCTAAACCCTAAAACCCTTTGCCCTAAAACCCTAGACCCTAACCCTAGACCCTAAGCCCAAGCCCTAAGCCCTAAGCCCTAAGCCCTGAGCCCTAAACCCTAAACCCTAAACCCTAAACCCTAAACCCTAAACCCTACACCCTAAACCCTAAACCCTACACCCTAAACCCTAAACCAAATCTGCCGTGCTGCCGCTGGTGTAGGTGTCGATCACCTCGATGCCCGCGCGGCGAATCAGAGGCTCCTGAGCCGAGCTTGCTCAGAAAGCAACTGAGGGCTTTGTTTAGGGTTTAGGGTTTAGGGTTTAGGGTGTAGGTTTTAGGGTTTAGGGTTTAGTGTTCTTCAGTGTTAGGGGTGCCGTACTGGGGTCCTGATTATAAGGGGATCCTACTATTTGGGGGTCGAAATTAGGGGTCCCGTATTATCGCAAACCCCCAACTCTCTCCAACAAGAATAACAGCAACCGTGTGGTTCAAAAGCCTGCTTTTTGCGTTTGTGCAAAAATAGTTAGCTACACAAGCAATAATGATGAAAGGCACAAAGATCAAAACATTTTACTCGCAATGACAGTAACAGTAGCAGTAGCAGCAACATTGACAGTAGCAAGCACCAGCATTCTGTGTAGTGCAGCGCACATGTGAAACAGTGGACACGTGCATTGTGCTACTTAGGGGCGCAAAAACGGAACCTTTTTTCTCCCTGCCCGGCACGCACCCGCGCATGAAACGCCTCGTAGGCGGCGGTGGCATCTTCTTTGGAGGCCCCCGCAAGCTCAGCCCGTTTGATGAGGTCCCTTTCCCACTCGCGAGCGAAGGTCGCGCCATCTGCCCAGGCGAAGGTGTCGGAAGGCATAGAGGGAAAGCTTGCTGTTATCCAAGCTGTCAGCTGATCTTTGGTCCACGCCTTCGGCGGCACCTCCTGCCAGGGCTTTGTCCGCCGTTGCGCGGCCAGACCCGCCTTCACAAGGTCGCCGGCAAGCGAAAGCGTATGCACGGAATGTGCAAGGCACCTGCTGCTTGGATGGACATGTGCGAGCCACACGATCTGGTGATCCTGTGCCCTGGTCAGCACACCTTCAAGCAGCCTTGTCAAAGGTGTGCGCCGCAGGGGAACATGCGACGAGCCTTCGGCCACGTGGCGGACGCACTCGTGCAAGCAGGCGAGGGACCAGTTTATGGCCTTGGCCTCTGCCAACTGTGCCGACGTGTGGGAGCGTCGATCCGCGGCTCGCTCAGAGCCGGCCAAGTCGGCGAGCATGACCTCGAAACGGTCTGTCCTGTACTCCCCGTAGAACCTTCATAAAAGTAATATGTTTAATATCTTCTTGGGTTCTATATAAACATAAACATTAAAAAATAATTCCCAAGGGGGGTATAGCGTCCTCAAGATGCAGAGAAGGTGGGTGCGAGAGGACGAGGGGCTCGGTTCAGTTGCCTCCGTCTGCCTGGCTCCATTTGCCACTGCCAGCCGCTCCTCCAGCTCCTGCGCAGTGCGCACCTCATAAAACCTTAGTAGCCCAGTAACCATATTACAACAAGGGCACCCTTTTTGGGGTCGGCTACTTTATGAGGGAACCCATAAGCAAAAAAAAGGGTAAAGGGTACCATCAACCCTAAACCCTAAACCCTAAACCCTAAACCCTAAACCCTAAACCCTAAACCCTAAACCCTAAACCCTAAACCCCACTGGGCTAACAAGAGACGGTAGGCAGGCGGATAAGCTCTTTGACTGGCCCGAGCCCTCTCGCAGGGGAAGCGGCTCAGCCGAGGGCGCCAGCAGATCGCGACAGACCTCCAGGACCTGGCCAGTTCTCTAAATTAGGGGTCCCTTTTCGGGTCCTTCTTTCAAGGATGCGGGTACTATATATATGTATATATATATATATTTATATTTATTTATATTTATATTTATTTATTTATATTTATATTGATATTTATTTGTATATTTATAGGACCCAAAGAACCCAACAAAAAAAGCGACCCATATTTCAAGAAACCACCCACCTCCACCATGCTGAGGCTCAAAGTCCCTGCGCGGCTGAGCAGCTCTGCGCCGATCGCTTGCTGCAGCCGCTGCTGCCAGAAGGTCTTCCCGGTGCCCGTGGCACCTTAATAGCCCAGGAACCATATATAGGGTTTATAAACCCTAAACCCTAAACCCTAAACGCTTATAGGGTTTAGGGTATATTGTAATATACCCTTTATTCTTGTTTACTTTATAAGGGAACCTGGAGCCAAAAAAAAACAAACGAGGACCACTGGGCAAGCAAGGCACCATATGAGATCGCTGCGGACCGGAACTTCTCCGTGCCAGGCACCAGAAGAGAGACCACCCGCTCGAAATCCATCTGCTGGCAGCTCGCCTGTGGCTGTGGCAGTTCGAGAGCCGAGAGCATTCATTTCAGCAGCTTTGGCTGGTTTAGGAAGTCAAGGCTTATACGGTTTTCCACCCTAAACCCTAAACCCTAAACCCTAAACCCTAAACCCTAAACCCTAAACTTTGCTTCAGAAGGGGCGCCTTCACTTCCAGCGTTCCAAGGGGCTCCCCGAATCGCTGCTTCTCCTGCACCAGCCGGATGCGCGTGCCATCCTTGTGGCATAAATAGGGTTTAAGGTTTACGGTTTAGGGTTTAGGGCGCCCTTTTTGGATTAAAGGGTATTATGTGTGGGAATCGAAACCCTAAAAAAAAGGGAATAAGGGCCTACTCTGGGTCCCATAGTTACCCTAACCCTAAACCCTGCACCCTACAAGCCCTAAACCCTAACAACAGGGAATATGGGCAGAAGATGTAGTCCCCAAGGATCGGGCGTGGGCACGACGCTCGACATGACCAGGGCCCCATCTCCCGCATCGATGTGCGCGGCACCGACCTGCGCGACCTCGTCGGGCAACGCTTGGGCAAAGACCCGCACTCCAGGCTGGGAAGAGGGCACCTGCAAGCAGGGCTTAGGGTTTAGGAGTTTGGAGTTTAGGGTTTAGGGTTTAGGGTTTAGGCTTAGGGTTTGCTGAAGGATTGTAGCCTGAAGAGGCAAGTGACTCCTGACAATACCTTTGGGTACTTTTTTGTAAGGGTATCAGAACCCTCAGGGTTTTCACCATTGATACCCTACTTGTACCCCGCCTCCAAGAAAACCCCTATATAAACCCTAAATCTCCGCACCCT